TTGCAATCCAAGAATTGCTAACAATTACCAAGACTCGCAGAAGATCATGTGATTGACATTATATTTCAAATGGTTAATGTTTGAAAATGAATAAAAATTTAATGGGGAAAGAATGTTACGATTAACAAAACTGTTTCGCAGTAGAGAAATTATTGAAAGTGATAAATTGATGAAATATTAACTATTTTCAAATAGAGAGGAGGATATGATTCATCTTATTTTTTTCAGCTGTTTTTTCAATTTCTATTCAGCAGATACTGAAGTTTCGTTTGATGAATGATTGATTTATGTGAAAAATATAATTTTTTTCTGAACCTTAACATATATAGTACAAAATTTTCAAAATATTTGCAGATAATATACAGTCAATTCATATAAATAATAGAAACCTATGCTGAGCTTGCATTCACTACATTTTTCTTGGATGTTATTTTCTTCAGTTCCATCTGAATCTGCTCCAGAGTTTTGCCATTGGTTTCAGGAAATAAAAGTTTTATATATATAGTCCCGATCAAACAACAAACTGCAAAGACAAAGAAGCAGACCGATGTATGCATATAGTCCGTACAAACTTGATAAAATTTCGTTGTAATAATAACAGCCCCAGCTAAAGAAATGTTCACGATACAAAGAGCTTTTGGTTTAATAGAAGCCGAAAAGAATTCACCTACCATTACGGATAAAAGCGAACCAATACCGAACTGTAATACGCAGAAATGTATGAATAGCACTAAAACGGGCGTCCACACAGGTAAGCGTAAGTTCGAGTAATCTCTTAGTACGAAATACGATCCGAGTGCATTCAAGGTCACAAAGCAAACAGCGGTCGAGAATGTAATCAATGGAATTCGTCCGAATTTATCTGCTAGAATACCGGACAGCAAGCCAAACCATATTTGAATTGAAGTTATAACTATCATTGCTATTTCCGGATTCACTATATCCTCAGCATCTTCGATTATACTTCTTGCATACATAATGAAAGACACTGCACCCGTCAGCTGTTGAAAACTCCTTCCCGAAATCATCAAAAGTAATGCTCTTTTATTAGAATCTATTTTGAATAGATCGCTGAAGGTACCACTTTCGCTAAGCTGTCGTTGAACGTCTTCACTTAGAGACCAAAGTTCATCCCGTACTATTTGGCTTCTGCGTAGAAATACCAGTGATTTTTCAGCTTCTACCACATTATCTTTCATCAAAAGATAGTACGGAGTCTCCGGCATCATGGAGAAAAGTGACAAAAAGGTTAGAATTATCACTAGGAAAATCAAAGATGAATCCAGATGGTTTAAGTATTTACCGACCAAATTCACTCCTAGTAATCCAGACGTGAAAGAGAACACTACCAAAATACCCAATTTTCCTCTTATAAGTGGACGTGAAATTTCTGATATATATATTGGAGTAACCATAGTGAATGTACCAGATGTAATTCCTCCAGATATTCTAGCAATATAAAGCAGAATAGGAGAAGTGTCTGATAAGTAAAACAATACACAAGAGAAAACCATCGGTATTCCCAAAGTTATTAAAGTTTTCTTTCTGCCTATCCTATCGATAACCAGCATAGACAATATGGCGCCAATAATATCACCTATGGGCCCAAAAATAGCTATGTACGAGGCAGCTTCGCTGGATATATCGAATGGATATCCTTCGGAAATCTTCAGTTTTGGAATGAAAGGTGATGTCCATCCTGTGTGTATGCCAACAGAAAAGCCCAATATACAAGCTGAAACATGAATTGTGCCATATTACAAAATACAATGTACTCTTCTTTGGAAATTGTTTTTGTTTCAAAGCGATAACTGAATTCCAGTGGTGAAGACATTATGATGAAATGATATAAAATAATTTCAATATTTCTCAATTTTCTGCACATAATATATAGATTAATGATCTGAAATATTGTATTAAGAATGAGAATGAAAAATATGCTACATTAGCATCCTGTCTAGAGTTCAGTTATCGTTGTTGAATCAAAGTTGTATCAATTTAGTGAATCATTGAAATGAAGGGAAAACACCAAAATTTAAAGACACACACAATATAAAAGGTGGTTTAAACATATATACATGGTTCGAGTGCCTACTTGTAATTTTTAAAAAAAAATAGCTTTGAAATAGTCCAATATTTCGGATCATATCATCTAGATCGTCGTTTAATGTATTGCTTGAAAAACTAAGAGATGCTAGGCATTGGATTTCATTTATCTAACAAAATTCGATAACGAATGTGAGAGATTATGCCTGTTTCACTGAAAATCAGTCATTTAGTTGTTGACAATCCATTGAAACTCAAGTCATAACGAGCACTTTAATTGATCAAAGTTATTCTCATTGGTTTAGTGTTAAATCAAGAATAAGGGAGCTCTCCTTTGCGAAAATCAAGAATGCCAAATTGGTAATACGGGGAATAATGATAATGTGAAAAAGTGATCTACTGTCGTCCCTTTGCGCTTCCGCCGCACTATACCTCTGGTTACCCTTCAAGAATTAACCACAGCTTGTCATTTGATGTCAGAAACAATTGTTTTCAATAACTTCATTCAAACCATTGAATATCTTCTCTTTTACAAAAATTTAAAATATATTTCTTTCTGAGGGTAAGTGAAGCTTACTGAATGACGATGGCAATAACATGAAATTAAAGACGACGAACATTGGTTTGATTATCCAGAGTCTTCTTCATTACACTATCGAAATGTAACAAAAATGTTACACTACACTGAATTTGACAAATTGGTGCAATGAACTTGTACAATACTTTCCTTCTTTCATCAGAAATAGACGCATTAGACATCAAGTTGTAATTTTCAATTGGACATTCAGAAAGTTACTTCTTAGTAAGGAGGTTTTTTTGTCTTCATCAAGAGGTTGATATATTCGAAACTATTTCACAACTTATTTTTTAAATTTGAACTGTACTAGACAGTAGAAATTGAATTCTATTATCGAGAAGGCTCTCGATAATAGAATTCAATATAAACAGAGAAATTAATTTTAATGGTGATCTTTATATAAAATAATATTAGCTATAATTGAATAGATGTAATGAAGAAAGGTCCATATTTGCGTAACTCTTGATGATTTCTTGAAAACAGCAAGTAATGAAAATGGGAGAAAAAAAATAAATGAATTCTTATGTTGGGTATATAATTTCTTACTTATTATATTTTAATTATTATAATTTCTTGATAATGCCGTAAAAGGCGAAACTATTGGAATAAAGAATTATTCAGTCAGTGATTTTTAGACAAGTATTTATTATTACCTTTAATTTATATAATTTCATCGAAGTTAAATCATTGAATTCTTTTTTCATAGATAACCATGAAATCAATTAGAGAAAAGGAGAAAAAATGCACTATAATGGTGAACAAACTATTTTTCTATTGAAGATAAATATCTCTTCAATCATTAATATTTAACGTTTCTTTCAGTTATAACTCCGAACAAAATAAGAACAATTAAATATAATATGATAGATAAATCTGAATCCATTGCATCTAATATAACTCACAGAACATTCGCAGGAAATATGGATTCGGTTAAAATATTTTAATACAAATTGTGAATGATCAAGTTTTCCTATAGCTCTTTTTCGAGTAGTCCATTCGAAACAACATTGAACGAACTGATATGAAATTACTTCTTTATCCGAAACCTTTAAAATTCCAATAATTCCTTAGATAACTGAAATGATTACACTATTTTAGTATATCATTAACAAGAACGACTTACCTGTGATGGAAGCCAAATACTCGTTGAATGCACTTTTGTTATTCGTCTTATTAAAATTTATAAACATTTTCAACACCCAACACTCATACATTGTTATCAACTCAAACTGGTCACTGGTTTTTGAAATATCAATCAAATTTTATTCATTACGACGACGCTACTGAAGTGTCATCCTTACTTGATGAAAACCAAATATACAAAATGAGATTCGTGTCCACATTTACCTGTTTATATTTCTAATATCTAAAAGTGGACCAATAGAATTGAAATATGGTAATGAAGATTGATTTTTGTGTATCGAAGAAGGATACTTAATCGACTTCTTCTGTTTGACCTATGATTCGAATAACTGATACAATTTCTGAGTGGAAGTAGAAATAATAATTTTCACTGATTGTTAGTGTTGGAAATATCGAAACCCAAATAACACTCTAAAAATTCTTCCCCATGTAAAAACCCGTGAAAATGGGTGAGCCAGATAATATTGTTTATAGAAATGAATATCTACTGAATTAATTAGTTGAGTACCTGTAATTGTGTTTTGTCTATTCATACAGAAAATTTATAGAATTCTTTGTGTCTAAGTAATTTAGAAAAACACTTCAATAGTGTCAACCAATGTGAATATTTATTTCTTTGATTGAATTTGTAGGAGAGTTTTCAATTTTGAGGTGTGTGCTATTGCTAAGAAGAACTATTATATATATAAATATATATATATATATATATATATATATATATATATATATATATATATATATATATATATATATATATATATATATATATATATATATATATATATATATATATATATATGTTGATGGTTAGGTTTTCACGGAGAAAATGATATGCTTCTGGAGATTTTCGGGTTTGCTTCCGTGTGTTGTTTCGTTGAGTTCACGATTTGTAGACAAACGACCGGCTAGATAATGACAAATGAGACTTTGTCGAAACGTCGCCTTAACAAAGATTTCCAACGAAACAACACACGGAAGCAAACCCGAAAATCTCCAGAAGCATATATATATATATATATATATATATATATATATATATATATATATATATATATATATATATATATATATATATATATATATATATATATATATATATATATATATATATATATGAAGAATTGTATTTTCATAGCAAAAATTATGCAGTTTGAAGACGACAATCCGAGAGTCGATAATTTTTTTGCGAACAAAAAGAGTAAGATATGAGTCGAAATTGTTTCTTGAAGTGCAGTCCTCGATAGCTTAGTGGTCAGAGCAGCGGGGCAAAAATCTGAAGACCTGGGTTCGAATCCAAGTCGAGTTCAAAAACTTCAGAGGTGTTATTTCGATTTTCAATTTTTTCCACTATAAAAATACAATTCTTCATATATAATTTGGTGTTTTTATATTTATACTTTACTTTTTCAGCAATAACAGGCTTTTTTATATGAAAGAGTTTATTTTTGTTGACGTTTCGTTGTTATATTACAACTTTGTCAAAACTAATTATTATTAGTTACTAAACTTAAAAACTTTCAAAATATATTTATATGGTCTTGGTAGAATGTAATGTAATTGTTAATCAATATGGATGAAATATATCTATATATATATATATATATATATATATATATATATATATATATATATATATATATATATATATATATATATATATATATATATATATCTATCTATGTATCTATCTTGCTAAATGATAATAGGATACAATTATTTCATCATAAATATGAATCATCAGTCCCTATTTAATCAGTCAATGAAGAATCGATGAGTTTCAAAACGCCTACAGGTCTTATATCGCAATGAGGAGAACAACACTTTGAGAACATTCACATGAGCTCCCTCTATCGAAGAAAAGACGTATAAACTCTCCCTAGCGTTCTAGATTCCTACTCATAACTCGATAAGTGCGAGTACGTGGCTTCGTAGACATTTCATTCGAGCACCACAAAAATCTTTCTGCAATGTGTAAGAATCGTTCCATGCCAAATCGCTCCAGATCACGCATCGGCGCGCAAAAGGATAGATAGTTTCAATATTCAAGAAGCATTTATAGTTTTCGAATACTGAGACTCGTAATCGAAATTTCGAAATATTTCAAATCAAACCCTCAGGGAGCTGTCTACACCAATGTTGTCAACGAGAACGAACCTATCACTTTCGAGAATGAATATTAAGTGCGCTTCGAAAAGTCATGGAACTTGTTGAGTGATAATTTCAACAGTTCCTTTATCCGAATGAGGAGGACAACACTTTGTGAACAGTCACATTTCGAATCGAACTTGATATTCACTCTCGAAAGTGATAGGTTCGTTCTCGTTGACAACGTTTGTGTAGATAGCTCCCTGAGAGTTTTATTTGAAAAACTTCGATTAAGAGTTTGAGAATTTACTAGTAAGAATGATTCGTGAATCTTGAAAGTAGATATTTTTTTACCGCCAGTGCGTGATGTGGAGCGATTGAAAATGACCATGAAGTGTCATTTCCTATCAATGATAGGAAATGTTCATGAAGCCTCACGTACTCGCAATAATGTTGTCATCAGTAGGAATCTAGAAGGCTAGGTAGAGTTTATACGTCTCTTCTTCGATAAAGGCAGCTCACGTGAATGTTCACAAAGTATTGTTCTCCTCATTCGGATATAGGACCTGTGGGCGATTTGAAAGTCGTCAATTCTGATTGATTAATTGAATACGGACTGATGATTCATAATAATGATGAAACAATTGCATTCTATTTTTATTCAACAAGATCGTCGATTTTTTCGAAGCGCACTCTATATTGAGTGCGCTGAGTAAAACAGGAATACTGTAAATACAGGAGTACTGCAGATAATCTCTAGGAAACAAAATTAATATGGAAAATTCTATTGACACTATAAATTCATCCCTAAGCTTATGTCTCTGATATTAGTATACGTGTTGTGGATTCCCCTGCAGCGGTTCAGCATTTTCCTTGAATTTGTTGACCTTGTGGATGAGCTCAATGTTCTTTGTAGCAGTTCAGAAAAATCAGGTAGTAATAGTGTAACGAAAATCCAGGTAGCACGTAGTGAAGAAAAAACCAGTAGTAGATAGTGTTGCAAAAATCCAAGCAGTCTAATAAAATCCGGTAAGAGATAGTGAAATAAGATAGTGAAGATAAGAAAAATCCGCTAGTAGGTAGTAGTGCAAACATCCGGTAGTCGGTAGTGATGCAAAAATTCGTCGGTAGTGCGGCTCTATAGAACATTAATAGAGGAGTTCAAGGTCAAATCCCTGCAAATACCTCATTGCCAGAATTGACAAATGGTTTCTTTTAAACACAATAAATTATGAAAAATTGAAATTATGAAAATACAGAAATAAATAACTTTACTAATAAGGTAGCTTCAATACGGAAAAATTTTTCCAATCCTGCGATGTGTGAAGATAAAACATCTGCTAACAAATAAAAAATGGTCTACAAACTACCTTGATTCAATTCTAAAAACTTAGAAAGCGAAAAGCCAAGGACTAAACCAAAATGGCAGAGGCGTAGAGTTATATAGAAAAGACGAAAAATATCCACAAAGAAATAGTTGAAAGACTCAAGCAGCATAAGCTGTAATACTATTCAAATTGATTAGATGCGAAAAGCCATTGAAATGTCTCATTTTCATAAAAGAAATAACTTACCAAAACCCAATTTTTATCTCTCGATGAGCACAAATTCTATATTCGAGAATCACAAACGACAAGATAAATTCTTTTGAAATGGTATCACTCCTCGTATCAAGTGCACATCATAACGAGTTGTTCTTTTAGTTAAGTCTTGCGCATAATCATCAAGAAGTTACATATTAGAGTACGAAGAGAGATACAGAGTTACTCCGCAACCAAGAGCTCAAAAAACAGCTACAATATATATATATATATATATATATATATATATATATATATATATATATATATATATATATATATATATATATATATATATATATATACAATTGTTATGGGTTATAGGCAAAATAAGAGGCTACTATAAATAGATTTTATCCAATTTGTCTTCCTGGTCTATATTTCGACTGTGTTTACAGTCTTCATCAGGACTCTAAAAAAGATGTTTATACAATTGTAATGATAAAAATTATGATCGACAACTTACGGCTAACTGGGTGTGAAAGGTATGGCCAAAAACCATCAAACAGGAATGTGTTACTTAAAGATAAGTTGATGTTGAATGAAAGATGTAAAAATATTTTTATGTACTAACCAAAAACAACGATAGGTAAATAATAGAATAGAAATGACAGGAGCACAGAGAAACATTGACACTAAAAAACGATACAGAGGTGATAGAGTAAAATCACTGTGGCAACAAATGTCATACTACGCACGTAACACATAAAGTCTATTGAAGTTGTGAGCTGTCTGCGAAGGTTACTTAAAATGATTTGAGAGTAAGTAACTATAAATGCAGCTAAGTCTGGGAACTAATGCTGTTGGGGTTATTATTAATGTAGACTATTTCCAAAAAAATCCTTTTCTGACAACTAACAGCTACATCCAGTATTCCTACATTATCGAAATCAAAACGATGTCCCTGTTGTGAGGAATGTAGTGCTAAGGCACATCTGTCAGGGCGAAGTCTAACATCGCTCTTATGAAGAGTAATTCCTTTTCAATGGTCTGAGAAGTTTGACCTATATAAACTCCTTCACAATATAAGCACGGAACAATGGAAATGCAGTCTGATGTTAATGTGGAGGTATTTTATCTTTAAGTCTTGTTAAAACATTTCTGTCAATGATGAAGTTGTGTTTGGCAACTCTTAGCTCATCTATTTAACCGAAAATGTGACATAGTTTTGTCATGAGCCAAGGCCAATAAGGCAAAGATCTGTATTTAACTGATGGAGGTTGTGAGTCTATGTTAGGCCTATATCAAGGTCTGTTTTAAAGGTGAGAGCCGGTGGTCTAATGACTATATTACATAGAAACTTTTTCACACGTGTTCTTGGATATCAATATCATTCTGTTCTTGAGTTGATTAATGATGTTCAGATTCATATTTACATTGTGGTGAGATCGGAAGTGCAGATATCTACCAGAGGAAGACGGCTTCTGATACAAATCTAACTTGATGATATTGCCCTCGGACCTAACCTTTCTGGTATCTAAAAACGGTACAGATCCATCTGTCTCCATCTCCACATGAGGTCGTCTACATATTGATATAAGAGTCTTAATTTGCCTATAACCCATAACAATTGTATTTGAATAACCAGGCAATACTCCTTTTCATTATTGTTATATATATTATGTATATATATATATATATATATATATATATATATATATATATATATATATATATATCTTGAAATTGATTTATTGCCTGTTTGAGGTATTTATTTTGAAAGTTTTTAGCATTAACAGGCTTTTTTAATATGAAAAAGTTTATTTCTGTTGACGTTTCGTTGTTATATTACAACTTTTTTTTTATTTATATAGTTTTATTTTTATATTTTAATTTTTTTATTTTTATAGTTTTGACAAAGTTGTAATATAACAACGAAACGTCAACAGAAATAAACTTTTTCATATCAAAAAAGCCTGTTAATGCTAGAAACTTTCAAAATATATATATATATATATATATATATATATATATATATATATATATATATATATATATATATATATATATATATTGTATATGTAATTAATGCTTCCCTCATTTTTTTTTGTTCAGTGTACCTTCAGTTTAACGCAGGTTGAGAACGAATCAGTGTACATTAATCAACAATTTTCATCATTAATCTACCTGGATCATCAAAAAACAAATTCATTCATGCCTTCACCGAGACTCGAACAATCCGAATCTTACCGAAGAATAGCCGGGAGTATCATGATCGGGAATCCCTACTATACCACGGAGATCGAACGGATAAATCAGTGCCTCAATTTCATGTTTTTTTATTCGGTTTGTCGTGAATGAAATCAATACAACTGCAACAAAATGAGTACTTGACATGATATTATGTTTCCTTAGATAATGCTAGTTAGGGATATTCGTTAATATAAGACACCCAAAAGAATGCTATTCAACTGGAATTTATCATTCAAGTACTTATTATTTTCAGCATTCGAGACAAAGCGTCTCCAAGTTATATTGAATTCACTATAACTTTCGAAGACTATTGCGGGTATCGTAACTCGCAATAAAGTGACTATTCCTTTTGAAATTACTTACAGGTAGGTACAATAAAATCCCGCTATTGTATCTCATAATGTAATCCAAAAATTTATTGAGATTTTACTGCACTGAACTGTGATGACAG